AGGGCCACCAGGGCCTGAGGTCCCCCTCTGCCCTGACACTAGTGCCCAGCACGAAGGAGAGGCTCAGCGTCACTCGGGTCACCTCTGTCCCCAGACCCACAAAGTGCCTGAGAAGGCTGGGACAGGAGAACTCCAGAGAGCCTTGGTTGCTCTGCAAGATTCTTTCTCCCGCCTGTAGCTTCCTCTCTCCATGCACCTGAGGGCTGTGGGGCCCATAAAAGTTACTTCCTCAAGAAACAGGGATAGGGGCCTGATTGGGCTGGTCCTCTGGGACTGCTCTGTAAGCTGGAGGAGGGAGGCAGACAGATCTGGGAGACATCCAGGACCCTGCCCCACCACATCTGGACCCCAGGGAGAAGGGACTACAGAGCAAGAAAGCTGGGCCCACCCCCGCAGCCCCAGGCTAGCAGTCACCAAGGCCTCCAGATGCTCTGGGATATGCGGGCAGCTGTCAGGCTGCCCAGGGCTGGGAGCACCAAGTCCGGCTCCTCAGCAGGCGCCGGGCTCAGTTCAGCCTCAGGCGCCTCCTCCAGATCGGAGCACAGGTCGTCCCTGGGGCCCGGAGGGCTGGGCAGCGGGGACCCCACGGTCCCTCCTGTGAGCCAGCGGCTCCGCCCAGGGGCTCCCGGCGGCGCGGCCAAGGCGTCCCCCAGGAGATCCCGGAAGCTGCTGCCCTCGCGCAGCGGCATGGACTCAAGCAGGTGGTTCAGGAGCTGGGCAGCCACGGTGGCGTCGATGGCCTGGCATGTGGACACGAACGTGTGCACCTCGTGCATGCACTGGATGTAGCCGGCGGCGAAGCGCTCGCTTGCTTCCGCCTGCAGCTGGTCGCGCTCTGCGCCCGGGAGTGGGAAGGAGAGAGCCGTGCCAGCCCGGTGAGCCGCGACTGCGGCGGACCCGCCCGCCCAGCCTGCGATCGCGGGGCTCACCCAGGAGATTCTCCGGGGGAAGTCCTCGCCGCCCACAGCACAGGAGCGCTGGGCGGGGAAGTCCTCGGTTCCGGCAGGGACCAGCTGAGCAAAGGCGCCCCACGCCCAGGTGGCAGGCGCCCGCAGCCCGCGCCCACGCCCGCCCGTCCCGCGCCACTCACCGCGCGCCCGGCCCCGCAGCGCGCCCTGCACGCGCCGCACCGTCAGCTCCAGCACCTCGGCGTTCTCCAGCTTGGCCTGCACCTGCACCGGCGGCAGAGCCGGGTGGGGAGGGGCGGTGAGGCCGGGCCGGGCCGCGGCACCCCGCCCGCCGGCAGCCCCCGGCGGCCGCCCGCCCGCCCGCCTCACCTCGGCGCCCGCCAGCAGCAGCCGCAGCTCCTGCAGGCTCTCGTTGATCCGCGCGCGCCGCTTCTTCTCCACCAGGGGCTTCCGAGCCTG